TTTGCATACACTTTACGTAAAATTGAAATTTTATTTTCTAAAAGGTAAAATTTATGCGCAAGCGATGCAATTAACATCTGTAATTTTAGACATCTTGGGGGTGTTCCACGCTAAGCTTTTATTTGTCTGTAAAGTAATAGACTAAAAATATGCTTCAACATTGCTGACTAAACACAATGCGATCATGTCATATTAAGCAAACTTCGATCATTTTTTCGGCTTGGGAATTCTAGGATCTGATAGAATGTGCTCCAATCCCAAACTATTCTCGTTCTGTTCCATGGGAACGTTGTATTCTGATTTCCGGATAAAGCTTTTAGTTCCCCTTCAGGATGCATGCAACAGTTTTTCCTCATTTATAGATTTCGCTTTTTAATTATATTATAGAAGACACTGCTTACAAGGCTCAACTATGTCGTTGAGTTTAAAAATAATTAAATTCTCTAAATGCATTTCTTGCTTATCTTCGCGCTGAGTATGATTGTATGCAAAAATTCAAATTTTTTCGAAATGTTGACGGAATAAATGCTGGACTGTAGATAGGAAATGGGCCCTAGTCATTCTTTTCTTTTCGAATTTCATAATGTCCGTCAAATTTTTGACTCGCAGCCTTTATTCAGAAAATTTTTCTTTTCATAATGATGCATTATAAATTGAACAATGTGGAAGGCTTCAGCCGTCAGGCTATGCATAGGTTGTTAATCCGTTCCTGAGGGGTCTATAGTGCATGCATACCGTTCGAATTTGAGCCGCAGCTGTCCAAAAGGAGACGGCTTATTTTTTAGGTGCAGTAAATGCATGTGAAATGAAGAGCAGGAATCCTTAATCTACAGAGAAAAAATGTTGCTACATGATATGACATTATTTCAAACTATTATCGGTTTTTGTGTGTTCATTTTTTTTGTTCTGAATTCTATAGCTATCGTACCACTAACCAAAACTTCGGCCTTCAGGCTAGTTCTATTTTAAAGTCTGCAAAAAAACTCATAAAGGCTAGTGTTAGATTAATGGAGGGCCTAGTTTTAGTTTGCTAGCATGATCGCTACAGGAAGATCTGAGGGAATAATTAGGAATAAAATGGGGCGTTCTAGTTCACAAAGAACACAATCAGACTTACCTGCGGAAGTGAAGGGATTACACTTTGAATGGACGGTTCTCCGTGTTCCTCCGCAGATTGGACTTGATCCTTCGAAGTGGACTGTTTGAACCACCGCTAACCAAGCGACCCTATCCGTACAAAGTTTTCCCCTTCCCGTCGTCCCTCTCGACCAATGAAATTGCAGCAGCCAGTCCCCACGAATAGCTGACGTTGCCTCTCACCTACCGGCCAGCCAATCAGAGACCTTCTTCACCATGTACGCTTGCTCGCAATTCCCATGTCTTCTCTTGAAGGCACAGCTGTCATCGGTTTTGAACTCGCCTTCCGACCCAACTGAAAATATGCACCATTAAATACCATAAGCCTCTGAGGATTTCATGACATTCCCAGGTCACCTTCGTGCACTTGCAGAACCATTGGATTAATGCTTTTCAGTGCATGACAGGGCACTATGTCTTCTCTCAACTGCTTTAAGCGGCAAATTACAGACTTGCATCGTCCTGGTGGAGTGCGGCGTGAACCTCCTTGGGACGGAGTCAGTCTTGCGCAGTCGGAGACGGTCGGACAGGAGACCCTTGAACGGAATACCGATAAAGTTCCCGTATCGGAAGCAGGAGGTCAATCTAAATTCAATGGCGTCCAGTGCGATTCTTTGCGCCCCGCTTCCTCTTCAGCTATACACGCGCTCAAGACAAACTCCCTCTCCAGCAGATATCGCATGAAACTCCGCAACGCCGGCGGCGCCTACATCTCCAACTCCTCGCCCATGTCCACTTTTCGAACCTGTGTTAAGGGCAACTCAGAACGTTCGGCTAGTCAGGTTAGAAAGAGGGGTAGCAAAAAACAGTTTCACGCCAGGGAGCTCTCTTCGTCGCAACAAACAACTACATCACCAGCAGAGGATTACGATGCCTGTGACCAGCAGGTTGATCAGGC